TGCAGGCGTTGCAGCTTACCAAGATGAACAGCGGGCGTACCATATAATAGACAGTTATCCGTTTATCCTCTCTTGGTAAATATTATGTAATACAAAAACGCTAAAAGTTATGATGTCACGCCTATTTTGTTGACATAGAATCGTAATTGTCTTCAATGGTGTAGATTACAAAGTTGTACCAAATAAACGCCGCATTCTTCTGATTGGGTGCGGCGTGTATTCAAGAGCAGCGTTATAATATTGGTAATTTTGCTTCCATCTGCGGTGTCTAATCGAGTCTAATACGGTATTTTTTCTTACCCGGAATGACTACTGGTTCAGCAGAGCTCTGTTTTTCTTCCACTTGTGTTAAACGCTGTTTCAGAGATTTAACACTCTTCTCGACTTCAAGACACTCCGCGCTACGTTTTGTACCTGCAGCTGTTTCCTGTCTTTCCAAGGTATCTAGTGTGAGAAAAATAAAATAGACTTCATGTTCAATCCCTGTATTCCAAACACCTTACATACATAAGGACCCATTTTCCTCTTACTAACTTTTCAATAAGTTTCCAATAAGGTATTTTCATCCTACTTTACGATGGCAGTAGGAGCACAATATCAGCTACACCCGCGTAAAGTTGACGGGGCCTTGCGTTCAGGTAGCGTCCAGAAATTTCTGGACACCACCACTGGTTTCCTCGAGAAATGACGTCATCTCACAAGATACCAGTGGTAGCGCAGTGGTAGCGCAGTGGTAGCGTCCCGAAATGACGTCTGTTTTTGCAATGCTAGCAAATCACACGTTGTTATTCTAAGAGATTGGCCGTTCTCGTTTAAGGTGACTAAACGTAAGTCCTCAAGTAACCTAAATAGTCAGTAGACTATTAGTAGACTAATAGCTCTAAAAAAAATAATTGGTTTCGTATCCTCTGACTAGCTGAATTTTGCTTACTTACAAGATTTTTTACTTAAGTTATGATAAATCTATTCTCCACGGAAAAGGATTGAGAAACATTAACCCTTATTAAATCACTATCTATCATTAATTCTTTGGCAAAGTTAAAAACAGTTTTTTAAAAAAATTTTAATTCAGTCAGTATTTTAAACGTACTGTACTGCGATTCAGTTTAAGAAAACCGTTCCTGGTTAGATCTTGTTTAGAAGTAGACTACGCATTTATTGGTCCCTTATCATCATTTATTCGTTGGACAATGTACGCGAATCTAAAACCGTGTTAGTCGTCGATCAGTTTCTACCTGTTTTAATTCTCGCTGCCAGAGCTGGAATATACGAGCAATTTTAACATGGTATGACGCGTATCCTCTTTTCCTTTTTGTCCTCTCCTCCTTATTTAATATGAAAACGCCTTGTTTGCTATGGTGGACAGATAGCCTGACATTCTAGTTGCTGGATGGTGGGGTGAAGAAACGCATAACATTTCAGACTGTGGTTATCTCCAACAGGGGAGGTGGAAGGGGTGAAAGGACTTCCTGTAGGCAATTCCATGAAACTACGAGATTTGCACCATGCTGCCCAAAGTTGTAGCAGAAGACCGCAAAGGATCATAATCGACCCCAATTGCTGAGAGCTCTAGCATTGGTAGAACACAGACATGTTTCCAAGATACCCTAATTATAAAAGAGCACATTCCTGTCAGGTATCTTGATTACACCTTTTGCTGTTCATTACGAGAATATACGCAATCATTTGCGTGAAACGGCGACCAATAGTGCGAAGATACATTCATTAGCGCGAAAATACGAGCTTTTTTGCATAAATCAGATTCAATCACGAGTTTTGCATTATAATCAACATTCAATAACACTTTTGGGCATTCATATGCATCATTCGGCATACAAAAGAGAAAAATACAGTTTTATTAACGCCACCATCAAAGTCATTAACACCATCTTGAAAGTCAATAGGGACAACAGACAAACGGAAAGTTCAAACACTATTCATCATTTCTATGAGACTGTTTGCAGTTCAATAGCATTCCTGGACAACTGGACAACCTTAGGATGGATAAGACAAACATTAATGCCCTTGTACAATCAACTGAGCGTTCTTTACATTTTTAAATGTAAAACTTAAAAGTGAAAACTGAGAGGTGGCCAAAATTTTAACTGACAACTGACATTTTTGCCTTGGGTTTTACTGACAACTGACGAAGGACCTGATTGTCCCTTATTTTCTAAAGAAAACGTTTTAAGGCCGTAAATAGCATCGTTCCACTCTTTTCGTCAGACAGTGTGATCAAATGTGCGTTTTTTGGGGTAATCTTAGCAGCCGGCAAGACACTTAAGTGTCATATTTCGTCAATGATTTACTGCAAAACCCATGGTGTTCTAGCCTAGCCTTCCTCCCTATCCCCTATCCCCTCTACCCCCTACCCCTACCCCTTTCGACGCCTGCTACGCAGGCTAATGGTGTTCCATCTGTGGTAAAAATGACCTATGATCCCAAATTTACGCTCCTTTGAGAACGCGCCAACATACGATGGCCGCTAATGAGGGCGTTACAAAAGCAATTGCAAGTCTTTCCCGAGATGATTCAGATACTGTCTTTGTTTCGATCTACTTCCCAATAATATATTCTGAAGGTATAAATTTCCATTGGCATAATGGTTGGAAACGTTGGACTCTGGACCAGCAAAGACGGTTGAGTGAAGGGGAGTAACACAAGACTTGAGAAATGGAGGGCCACTTGAAATGCCAACAATAGCAAAACTGATAAAAATTAGGGTACTATTGCATCACTTTTGGAATTTAATCATTAATTTTAGTTACATTATATGTGTCTTTAAAGCTAAATTTCGCATCAAAAATATACAAATAAGTTTCATAGCTAATCATTAATAACAACTCACAAAAAGCCTTAAATTTAACTGAAAACTGACAAAAGGCCAAAATTTTAACTGACAACTGACATTTGTAAAAATTATTTTCATGCTGAATTTGCGACAAAATCGTAAAAATGCACTTGACAAAATCCCTCAAATGTTCGTAAATTGGAAATAAAGTTCCCATTAAGTGACGTTTTTAATTTACAAAAAGGTGCTTTTTCTCATTTTTATCCGACTGATTTGGTAAATACTAAAACAACTTCCTCTTCAGGGGATAGTTGTATATTACGGGCACGTCCAACTTGAATATTTAATTGAGTATACTTTACACTATATTTATCCCAGATTGGGGTATCTTGTATGAGAGATCTCATGAGTATTGTGGCTAACTTTCTCGTAGTAGGATAATTGCATATTTCTTAATACACACGGTCCTACCTAACTTGGCCGACCCAAAATACTAAGATGAGCATCTCATTTCTAAACTGAATTTTCGCTGCACACGTTAAAAGCAATAACAAATGAAATCTATGAGCTCTCATAAAACTGAAAGTCAATTATTTAATACCTATTCTAGATGGGAAAGTTCACTTGATAACAACTCATCACATGGTCCGTTCGAGAACGATTGGTTGTACAGCGCATTGTTAAAGGGGCTTATGTCACGCATCTGCTATCCTGCTTTTTGAAAGCTTAAAGGCGTGTTTGCATCTACAAAACGTTCCAGAAATAATGGTCCAGTTTTGTTATTCGAGACTATATTTGCATTGAAACTGTTCCCTGCCGTCTGTTGCTATGGATAGCAACCAGTTAAACGGGAGTGAAAGATGATAGCATTTGATCCTGTCGCAAGAAAGAAACGCAGTGGGGATTCAGTATGGTGAAGACGATTCCAAATGTACATCGGAAATCCATCTATTTCTTTCGTTGGCCTGCAATGGATTCAAGACAGCAACAACCAAGTTATTATTTATCGGCTCCATTTCTTTGTAAAGGTTGGGTGGGCGCCTAATCCCTTAAATAATCTCTATAGTTACCGTAAACCCTCTATTAAGCCCCCTCATTTCGGGGGTTTTATTTCAAACAAATTTGAGGGAGGGGGGCCAACATAATTTAGTAAGGACGATGGTATCAGTTCCCCATAAAGAACTAGAACTGCGAAGTGTAAAAGCTCAAGTACAATAGTTGTAGGTCATGCAGCCGACGATCAAAAACAAATCTGAAAGTCCAGCTGCTGAAAAAAACTATCGTGGACCAGTCCACATGAAGTGTTACAGTTGTGATTGATAAATATAGTATATCATAAATTAGTGAAGAATAATAAGGGGAGGGGGGGGGAGGGGAAGAGGGGCTTAAAAAAGAAGGGGGGGCTTATTAGAGGGGGGAACTTATTTGAGAGAGTGGGGGCTTAACAGAGGATTTACAGTATGGATGGCCCGAGCAAAATGGATTCTTTTGACCTGAAATTGGGTATAGACTCTGGGCCCGAAATCAGTTGAGCCTAAAATTTGTGCTCCCTGGAAGAAAGGCCTGGAATTGGGTATGTTTTTATTCCGATTTGACTTTTGAGAGAAGCGGTTTAAGTCTCAGAAGGAAAAAACAGTTTGCCAAATTTTCTTAGAGGAGTACCCCACAGGAGGCGGGAATTTGCCCTGTTCACAATTCTCTTTCTTCCTGCAGGTGCATTAATTTTTATACCGTGAATAATTCTTTAACTGAATATGAAAAGAAATGCTTATTAGTGGTCGAAAACAAGTGAAGACAGTTATGGTGATAGACTCTGAAAAGTTAAAGGCTTAGAGATGAAATCTCTTAAGCTTGATTTACTAACTGTATTTTTTATATTTTCTTGATTCTTTTTTAACCTATGAATGAAAGACTCAGGTGTGAAAATTCAAATGAAGCTACATCTTCGTTTCCCATTTTGTTGTTTATTACATCAGTTGTACAAAGTGTTATTCTTATTCTGCTGATCTGCGGATTAAATGACTACTTTTCTGTCGTGTTGTTTGTTTCTCAATCGTACTCATTGCCGAAAGTGAAAGGCTTCCCGGTCTCCAAACAATCAGGTGCAAGAAATCTAAGAGCGGTGCCAAAGATAAAAGCCCTTTCATTTCTCCAGTCTACGAACATGTGATTATTTTTCTATCTTATCTTACAGAGAGGATCTCACCTTTCATTGACAGAAATTCAATGTCACGTCATCACCGATCAGCACGAATGGAGCCCAGTGCTTCACGGCATTGAATTTTTCCGACTCCCTCATCCATTTCATGGCCTGATGAAGGGACTTACTTGCACTTTGCCCTGCTACTAAATGTTCGTAAAAAGGTTTCATAAACGCAAGAGTGGCTTCGTCATCAATCGCCCACAGTGTGGCAATAACAGAACGCGCACCGGCTCCTAAAAAGGCACGTGCAATACCAACCACTCCTTCGACTTTGATATTTCCTCGCCCACTGTTGCAGCAGCTTAAGACAACAAGCTTGGCGCGCACTTTTGCATCCAACACATCTGCCATCGTCAAAAGAAAGTCTTTCTCTTTAGGTCTTTTGGCACTACTAGAAAAATTAGGAGACAAAATGATTTCTCCGGTTTCTGTACGACCATGAGCTGCTATGTGCACTAACGAAACTGAGTTGAGCCCGCTTAAAACCCGATCTTTTGTGGCGTTCTTTCCGGTGAGAGGCTCGATGTTTAGAATTTGCCCAATCATTTTTACCTCTTCCTCAGCACCTGGAAGCTGCGGAAACGGTTTGCAGCCTTTGATGCGTACAGTTTCCACCCACGGGTTGCCAACAAGTAGAGCCTCGGATGAACTATGGCGGTCCTCCGGACATTCTGCCAGCAGCCATAAGCTTGTCAGTGATGGAATCAATCTAATTCTACGCGTTTCATTTAAATACATGGAGTTTTGGTCCACGAGGGCAGCATAAGGAATCAAGAACGATGAACCGTCAGGGACAATGACGAGTTCGTCACCTATCGAGTGTGAAATTGGAGCGATGAATATGTCGTATAATACTTTTAAAGCACCACCCTGGTCTTCGATCTCTCTCTGCAGCTGGGGGCGAATCTTTTTCCACAGGCTTTTGTTCACACCAATCTGTTTGTATGTTTGGTAAGTCATTGATGTCAAGTCATCACTGCTAACTTCCTGTTGCACAAAGTCACAAAGCTTTCCCCACTTTAACAGCATCCAGATATTCACTGACTGGGTATCATTCATTAGAAATAACGTGGGTGACGAAATATGGTTTGAAATGATAAGTTCCATCTGCTGTTTCGGCTGTGAACGAATCGATTTCCTGACACCATATTGCGATTCCAAGAGGTCCATAAGAGCTTCTGCTCGTCCCCTCTCAGCTGTTAAAAGCGCCTCGAGTGTCTTACGTTCAGTGCGTTGTTGTAACTGTAGTCTCACTAAACGACTAACGCAATCACGTTCATTCCGAAAGCTGATTTTCCACTCGTCGTTTCCTTCAAGAAGGACTCTCATTTCCTCTACCAGTTCAATACAGGATTTAAAACACTCCTCGGCTTTGGAGTACTCGTCAAGACACCAAAGAACTTGAGCAAGTCTATCATATCCGTATTGTTCAACATCTTTGTTTCCAGTCTCCTTTGCTATACTTGTGGCTAGCTGATAAAATTCCATCGCTCTTTTGGAATTACCGAGACGCTCATAGACATCGCCGAGGTTTATATATGTAGGTCCTCCTCCATTTTTCATCCCAATATCTTTTTTGATCTTTAGACTCAGCTCATAAAGCTCGATCGCTTTATTAAAATCACCGAGAGACTGATTGACGACGCCAAGGCTGTTATATACAGCTGCTTCTTGATATTTGTTTTCAGTATCTTTTACGATTCTTAGAGCCAGCTGATTAAACTCCATTGCTTTTTTGAAATCACGAAGAGAATTATAGGCGACGCCAAGGTTGTTATATCTAGTTCCTTCTCCATCTTTGTTTCCAGTATCTTTTGCGATTTTTAGAGCCAGCTGATAAAACTCGATTGCTTTTTTGAACTCACTGAGAGACTGATAGGCTCTGCCAAGGTTGTTATATCTAGTTCCTTCTCCATCTTTGTTTCCAGTATCTTTTGCGATTTTTAGAGCCAGCTGATAAAACTCGATTGCTTTTTTGAACTCACTGAGAGAGTCATAGGCACAGCCAAGGTTGTTATATATAGTTCCTTCTTGATCTTTGTTTCCAGTATCTTTTGCGATTTTTAGAGCCAGCTGATAAAACTCGATTGCTTTTTTGAACTCACTGAGAGACTTATAGGCACTGCCAAGGTTGTTATATCTAGTTCCTTCTCCATCTTTGTTTCCAGTATCTTTTGCGATTTTTAGAGCCAGCTGATAAAACTCGATTGCTTTTTTGAACTCACTGAGAGAGTCATAGGCACTGCCAAGGTTGTTATATATAGTTCCTTCTTGATCTTTGTTTCCAGTATCTTTTGCGATTTTTAGAGCCAGCTGATAAAACTCGATTGCTTTTTTGAACTCACTGAGAGACTGATAGGCACTGCCAAGGCTGTTATATATAGTTCCTTCTTGATCTTTGTTTCCAGTATCTTTTGCGATTTTTAGAGCCAGCTGATTAAACTCGATTGCTTTTTTGAAATCACTAAGAGAATTATAGGCGACGCCAAGGTTTTTAGAGTATCTTTTGCGATTTTTAGGCTGATAAAACTCGATTGCTTTTTTTTGAACTCACTGAGAGACTGATAGGCACTTTGTTATATATAGTTCCTTCTTGATCTTTGTTTCCAGTATCTTTTGCGATTTTTAGAGCCAGCTGATAAAACTCGATTGCTTTTTTGAACTCACTGAGAGACTGATAGGCACTGCCAAGGTTGTTATATATAGTTCCTTCTTGATCTTTGTTTCCAGTATCTTTTGCGATTTTTAGAGCCAGCTGATAAAACTCGATTGCTTTTTTGAAATCACTGAGAGACTGATAGGCACTGCCAAGGTTGTTATATATAGTTCCTTCTTGATCTTTGTTTCCAGTATCTTTTGCGATTTTTAGAGCCAGCTGATAAAACTCGATTGCTTTTTTGAACTCACTGAGAGACTGATAGGCACTGCCAAGGTTGTTATATATAGTTCCTTCTCCATCTTTGTTTCCAGTATCTTTTGCGATTTTTAGAGCCAGCTGATAAAACTCGATTGCTTTTTTGAACTCACTGAGAGACTGATAGGCACTGCCAAGGTTGTGATATCTAGTTCCTTCTCCATCTTTGTTTCCAGTATCTTTTGCGATTTTTAGAGCCAGCTGATAAAACTCGATTGCTTTTTTGAACTCACTGAGAGACTGATAGGCAAGGCCAAGGTTGTTATATATAGTTCCTTCTTGATCTTTGTTTCCAGTATCTTTTGCGATTTTTAGAGCCAGCTGATAAAACTCGATTGCTTTTTTGAACTCACTGAGAGACTTATAGGCACTGCCAAGGTTGTTATATATAGTTCCTTCTTGATCTTTGTTTCCAGTATCTTTTGCGATTTTTAGAGCCAGCTGATAAAACTCGATTGCTTTTTTGAACTCACTGAGAGACTGATAGGCAAGGCCAAGGTTGTTATATATAGTTCCTTCTTGATCTTTGTTTCCAGTATCTTTTGCGATTTTTAGAGCCAGCTGATAAAACTCGATTGCTTTTTTGAACTCACTGAGAGACTGATAGGCACTGCCAAGGTTGTTATATATAGTTCCTTCTCCATCTTTGTTTCCAGTATCTTTTGCGATTTTTAGAGCCAGCTGATAAAACTCGATTGCTTTTTTGAACTCACTGAGAGACTGATAGGCACTGCCAAGGTTGTTATATCTAGTTCCTTCTCCATCTTTGTTTCCAGTATCTTTTGCGATTTTTAGAGGCAGCTGATAAAACTCGATTGCTTTCTTGAACTCACTGAGAGACTTATAGGCAAGGCCAAGGTTGTTATATATAGTTCCTTCTCCATCTTTGTTTCCAGTATCTTTTGCGATTTTTAGAGCCAGCTGATAAAACTCGATTGCTTTTTTGAACTCACTGAGAGACTTATAGGCAATGCCAAGGTTGTTATATATAGCTCCTTCTTGATCTTTGTTTCCAGTATCTTTTGCGATTTTTAGAGCCAGCTGATAAAACTCGATTGCTTTTTTGAACTCACTGAGAGACTGATAGGCACTGCCAAGGTTGTTATATGTAGTTCCTTCTCCATCTTTGTTTCCAGTATCTTTTGCGATTTTTAGAGCCAGCTGATAAAACTCGATTGCTTTTTTGAACTCACTGAGAGACTGATAGGCACTGCCAAGGTTGTTATATATAGTTCCTTCTCCATCTTTGTTTCCAGTATCTTTTGCGATTTTTAGAGCCAGCTGATAAAACTCGATTGCTTTTTTGAACTCACTGAGAGACTGATAGGCACTGCCAAGGTTGTTATATATAGCTCCTTCTTGATCTTTGTTTCCAGTATCTTTTGCGATTTTTAGAGCCAGCTGATAAAACTCGATTGCTTTTTTGAAATCACTCAGATGGTGATAGGCGAGGCCAAGGTTGCCAAGGCTAACTGTTTCTGCGTTTTTATTCCTGATCTCTCTGGCTTCATTCAAAGTCATCTCGAAGTAATCCCGGGCTATTTTAAAATCACCGCGTTTAAAGGCTTTTTCTCCAAGGTAATTACTGTACAACCAATTTGTTATGGAAGTTTGTTCGGGTTTTCCATGTTTGCCTTTACTTCCTGGGCATGCCTAGAAAAAAATGTAAAACAAACCCTCTTTTGAAGCAAGTTATGGTATAGAAGATGTTTTTAATGTAAAGTTATACCCTTTGTGAGGAAGAAAATAGCCCGCAAGATTTTTTGTGGCAATCACTCTCCCGTTGCGGATACCTCGATATTTCGGACGACCCCTGCTAACACAGCCAAATCCCCAACAATAGAAACTCCCGCTATTACTCGTTTGAGCCAGATTGTGGCTTTGAAATAAATTAGCTCATAATATAGCTCGGACAGCAAGTTTCTAGAGTATATATACTCAAGTATAGAAGTATTACCAATGAACTTTATTTCTCAAGCGGATAAATCTACAAGAGCTGATATTTGACCAATCCGCCTTGACTTTGGCGGCTCACGAAGTAAGCCAAAAGTCCATTTATTTTCGCGGCTTTAAAATTTATCGTACAGAGAATCAAAGGGCGTTTTACATTCAGCCAAAACTTTCGAAAATTTGGAAACAGCGGCAAATGGTATAGAGATTTTCCGGAAAAGTTTCTGGAAATACCGGAAGCTGTTGAATCAGTCCGAAATGGGAACCATTCAACCAAAAATTCTACCTGGAAATCCCGGGAGCAAAAATGAATGGAAAGAAATCTTCCGTTAAAAATTTTTCGAAAATTTGGGTATACCTCGCGAGGTTGTCCCTCGGTTTTGGAAGTTTTGAAAAATACTATTCCGTTTGCTACTGGAAGTTGCCGAAAATTCAAAGTGGACATTTTGGTTGAAGAGAAAGCGCCCAAAGTTTCTTTAAGAAAATTATTTTTCGGTCACTGTTTTTTTTTCTAATGGTTATGAACTAATATTTACTTTAACTGGGCAATTCTGTAAAAAAGACATTAACTTCGATCAATAGCTCAAACCCTTGAAATATCATATGTGACTTTTTCAAGCTCCATCATCGGTTGAATCGAAATTAATTCGATGCAAGAAAGACGAACTAACCATTCACTGTAAATTAACCTCCGCCAAAAAGGAACAAATAGTGGTATTCGGCTGTTGATTCTCTTCTATTAGAATCAACCATGTAATATCAGTAATATCAAAGGTCACTTCGACCGCCTAATCAAAACAATTCAAAATGCTATTTTATAGAAATAAAACAAAATACCTCGTTTTCCACGGCTCTTCTACTCGTCGCTTTTTTCCTTAGTTCAAGCAACGTGGTGTTTTCTTCGTCGATCTTCCAAATTGTTAAGGTGTAAATAGTAATTTCGAAATTAAGTTGAAGTAAAGTATACTTGCCATAGGTTGAATATAACTATAAGAGCGTTACCCCTTATGAGCAGCCTAAAGTTAAAAACAAAAAAAATACGGTCAAACCTGCATATAGCGGCCCTGTATATAGCGGTCACCCAGTATACTACGGCTACTGGACAACTCTCCGAATATATTGCCATATATGTTCTGTAAGTTGATCTGTTTAAAACGGTCTCCTCTCTATAACGGATGCGGTCACCCTTTAGACTCCCAAAATGCACAATTCGATTATATTTTTTACCTGTTTATAACGGTCCACAAATTGGATTACGATCAAATAAAGGATAAAATTCAAGATGTGTGCTCCAAAGTAGACGGAAAAATGAATGCTAGCAAAATCGTCGAATCAGTTAACCTTTTCATGGCAATCGAATGGGGGACCCACAAGCGTTGAACGAAATCAATATCCAGTTGAATTTAAAGGAAACCTATATATATATATATATAGCGGTCACCCATTTCTCAAGGCTGACAGTTATATATAGGTTTGACTGTACGCAGCATTTTCCCTGCAACATGGTTATAAAGAGGGGATAATCCTCTCTTGTTAATATTGAAACGCTAACAAGACTAATATTGTTGACACTGTTATTGCTACACAAACTTTTTAAAAACTAACTTTTATTAGAAATTCCACTTTTTCTGTGCTTTTGTGGTCGCTTTTGAACAAACAAAGAAATAGAGAAAAATATCGCGTACTGTTGTGTAATTCGTACAGAAAAGTTTAGATAACTAAGCACCGCCCTCAAATAAGCACTGAACCGTTAGTCAAGAAAAATGGTAGACAAATCGTAACGGAAGTGTATACAACAAGTTGCGAAAATAAACCATTTTTCAGCTATGGAAGAATGTAAAGAGTAAAAGGATACTGCTAATCCTTGATCACACCAAGTGATCACCAGCTCAAACAGTTTTAACTTCTCAAACGCTTTCGCCCCTAAAATCGTAAAAATAAAGCATGTTGAAAACATTTTTTTTATGTCTTGCTCCCTCCTACCTGCCATTTCTCAAAATTTCTCATTTGTCGGAGTTCTTATAGTGTATTAGTATCTTTGTATGTCTGTCGCAGTGTGATGAACCAGAAGCATATAATCCTTCAGGATAAGTTTTCTATAGCGATAAGGATAGACTCAGTTTTGCGCAACTTTCGCGTTTTAAGCTGTCATTTTGCTACTTTTATCATTTTCATGTACAGCAACACCCAATTTCCGGACAATTTCAAACAATAAGCCACTCTAAAATTAGGCTTAAATGGGTACATTCGTGGTACAGTTACACTGAAGCATCCATGATAGTTCATGCACGTCATACGTGCCTATGTTCAAGAGAATGAAGAACTATGTCGCAAGTAGCCTACGAATAACCGTAATTGCCATTTTTTGTACTATAAAAAAGAGCCCGTGAGCAAACAAACATTTGATGATGACTTTGTTACACCCTGGACTCCAAATCTAAAGTTTAATTTCTTCCATATTATTTAAACGTTTGAACTTTGTAGCCGTTTGAACTTTTGGTGTTTTCACAAGAAGGGGGTAAATAGAATGCTTGCCAACATTACTAGTATAATTATGATCCATTTTGTTTCTTAGATACTAAATAGTTAAAAAAAATTCTTCTAAAGTTACCTGCTATTATTGGTTTGATTGCCAATGGTCG